AACTGTCGACTTCCGATCCCTAGAATCAACCCTAGAGGCATCTTTAGCTCTCGTGCTCCTCGCTCGAACCGATCGATCTGCCCAGAAATTCGTAAATATCAATCGAAATCACAATTTTACAGCACCGAAATCGAATCGCAGATATTCGTCGAAGAAAGATGAACGTACCGGTGATTTCTTCTCGCCGGCAAAGTGGAACTTGAGAACAATGATGGAGAACCAGAGATTCAGGCGAGGGTTTTTCTTCTTTGTCGGTCTCTATCGCATTTTCAGAGGCGCCGAGAAGCCCAATACGTCTTTTTTGGGCCCAATCATTTTATATGGGCCTACTAATTTTGATATTTGGGCCCAATAACATAGTTCTCGGTCATTAAAAATTGCAGTTCGCCATTCAATTATTAGGGACACTGTCAAAGATAGGGCACGATCAGTAACAATGTTGGGAGCGTCCAATCCAAATTCGAAAACCTCGTAAAACTAGAGAGGATAAAATTTTAAAAACATAACAAAGTATATGTATATACTTTTAATGTCCAAACGTTCTATATTTTCATATATTTATATAAAATTCGAATTAATTATTTTGAAAAATATTTATCTTGGATTTAACTCATAGATTTTCTTTGGAGTAGGTGACTCCCCACACATCCGATTTATTAAAAATAATTTCGGTATATACTTTTAGAGAAGCCCAAGAGGGGGAGATGGGGAGGAATTTAAAGTGTTGGTAGAGACACAACATGGGATTGATTGGTCTCTTTCGATCCAACCCATTCCTTCATCTCGATTTCCAACCATATATATGTTATAGTATACTTATATATTACTTTCTCGAGCTCACATCTCATGCACATCGCATTTATAGTCTTTATAATAAGTACGATCTTTCCAATTGCATTCCATTTGACTATACAAACATATATATACATATATATATTAATATCAGTGGTCTTTTTTTCCGATTATATATTAGAATCGTAGTTGGATATAAATTGATATTTCTGATTCCGGTAGTTTTTTTAAGTTTTAGTTTTACTAAAATCATATCAAATTCTGTTTTCAAATCGGATTCCATTCGATTTAGTTCTTATTTAAATTTGCTTAGTTTTATTTATATTAAAAACAATTATTATGATTCAAATAAACTATATATTCAATCAAAATAAGAGTATATGTTATTTAATTCAAATAATTTTGATGTTGCATGATAAAAGTGAAATGGCAACCCTACTTATATATATATATATATATATATATATATATAAATGGCACAATAAGAATTGGACTGCATATAAACAATGTATAGGCTATGAAAGATGGATAATCCCCATAGAGTAGGGGAGGGGCATTAAAGATTCAAAGAAAGGATGACAAAAAAAAGGTGGGTCCAATTTAAATTTAAATTTAATATATCTGACAAGACAATGACTTGTTTGATGTAAGAAAGAGAGAGAGAGAGCATAGCATCTAACGCATCTCAATGTCAATCACTCAATTACATGAGGATCCTTTTCCATGGATTTGGAGTGCGACTTCTCTTCTTCCCTTCTCCATATGTTTTTTTTTTTTATTATATGTATCTCGAGATTTCTTGGAGTCTTGTCATGTTTTTCCAACAAATATATGATGGGTTTTGATTAAAAAAATAAAATAAAATAAAATAAAATTGGTATTATATAACGATTCTCTAGGTGTTTGAGTTCACTGTGTATAATAATTTTGATTCGAAATACTCTAAAAATGACTTCAGTTTTTGTGTATAATTTTATTAGAAATACTCAAAAAAACCACTTAGACTTTGAATGGTACTAGTTTTTTATTTTGAGTTTTTCACTTTAGTTTTTAGTTTTTGGTTTTGTAAAATACAAAAAGAAGGTTTTTAGTTTTTAATTTATTTTTTGATCAAAATAGTTTCCCAAGTTTTTATAAAACTCAAAAAACGCTTAGATCGAGTTTAAATAAATAAGAAAATAATATCATTAAATTCAAAGATTTATAAACATCTAGCATCATTAAAAACAGCCAAATATCAAATATAAAATAAAATATTTCATGCCGTCATTTAATATGGGTATTATTTGAATAATCAAATATAAGATGCATATGATCAAAATAAAACCTTGAGTTGTTTATTAATTTATTTATTTGGTATTTCACATAAAGTATCATAAATGGCATATTCATTTCATTTCTGCAATTTACGTCGAAATCAGTTATTTTAACAAAGCCAGAAAACACAGACAGCTTTTACCATATTGTCTCGAATGCATTAATTTCTACATATTACTGATAAAAAAAATTAATTTGATATTACGGCTGAAATGAAATTTAGACGATTTTTATTTTAACCGTAATTGAAATAAGGGTTTACTGTATCATTTCACTGTCCATCGATGTACCATTGGAGTGTAGGAGCATGATCAACAGAGAAGAAATTGCAAGGCTCTTCCGCGCTGAAAATACTACACTGTTCTTCCAGTTTCACCCTCTGCAATTCCATCGTCGTCGAGTAATTTCCGATTAACAGGAAATTCTCAGCCGTTGATCGCGATGATGACGTAGAATACGAGCCGTTGAGATACGCAAGAGACGACGAGGAAGACGGGGATATGATCGGAATCTGGAGTTTGTCTTCTTCTTCTCGGTGTTCTCTGTTTTGTCCTGTCGGAGACTTGTTTTCTTCTTCTTTGGTCTCTTCTCTAAACTTGGCCCTTAGCTCTTCAAGCTGGGAAAAAAAGGAGACGAATTTTAGATGCCCATAATTTTCAATTAGCACCAGAAGAAAACCCATTAGCGGAAATGAAATGGGCATTTCTCGAAATCTGAGTTCGATGTTTTTCTTTTCCAAAAATCAGAATTTTGAAACTCCAAGAACAGTTACATTGCTACAAGATGAACATATAGACCTTTTGAAAGCATACGTTTTTAACATAAAGCAAGTAATCTTCTAACGTGAAAAGATTTACACTAAGCAATGTCAACGGTTCTGTCCCCTTCATCCAGAACCAAAACCATACTCATACACATACACACATACATAAACATAAGATCTGTATTTCTGTCTGCATATCTCTATATATATGAACTATGCATATGTGTATGTATAGACGTATGCATACCTTTGAGGTAAGGGCTTGCCTCTCTTGCTGAAGATTGGAGTAATCAAGCTTGAGGGCATCATAATCAGCTTTCAGAACGCCGTAGTCTTTCTCCAGCTGCTTAGTCTTCCAACGAGCACGGCGGTTCTGGAACCATATGGAGACTTGCCTCGGATGAAGCCCTAGCTCCTCCGCTAGTCTGGCCTTCCTCTCTGGCTCGAGCTTGTTCTCCACCGCGAAATTGTTCTCCAGGGCCTTGACCTGTTCTGCAGTCAATCTTCTCTTCTTCTCCGACGCCGTGTTCTTGAGGGTCTCTTCTAACAGCGCGTCTTCTTCCACTAGATCGTCCAACATTGTCTGAAACTCTTCACTGTAGCCTCGTAGATCTGTCGAACTCATGTGCTCCGCCACCGTATATTTGTGTTTGTGAGAAACAGAGGACTCTGTTTATATAAAATGAAAAAAAGATGGTGACCCCAGAAAGTGAAATCGCATTAAATTTAATGTTTCGTGTTTGATTTTCGATTTTGGTTATTGTAATAGATAAATGAATGAAATGGCTGCGTGTGTGTGTGTATACTCGATGTGTCTATTTATAAAGGTCCGAGAGAAAAAAACAGAGAGAGAAATTACGTAGAAAGCACAAAAGTCAAAAGGAAGGTGAACCCAGAAAGTGAAATTGCTTTTGGTTCCAGTTTGAATTTGGGTTTTTGTTTTTTGGAGATGTGATGATCGGTCGAACGGATTATGATTATGAATTTAATCTAATCTAATTTAATTTAATATTAAGATTATGATTTCGTACCTTGGGGTTGGGAGATGGAGAACAGAGGATGCAAGGAATCAGATGAACCGAACTGTTTCATGGCTTTTAGGGTTCCTCTGTTTCTTAGCTAAGAAGTTGGAAACAGAGAATCTAGGGTTTGATGAGAAACTATTGCTTGCAGCGCAAGAAACCCATAAACTCGGTGTTAGCAGAGGAAGAAAAAGATGGCGAATGTTCAGTGAGAAAAGGAAGAAGAGGATGAAGAGAGAGGGAGAGAAAGAGAAAGGATTCTTCTCTCTCTTGATGTTCTTGTGTGATTATTGATGATTGAATTCCATGGGTTTTTAGGGGTAAATACGGAAATTAGGTGGAGATCAAAGCTTTAATCATTTACTAATGATTCAAGTGGAGAGAGATTTGAAAATGGTGAAAAAGTTGGAACGAAATACATATATATATATATATATATATAATACATTATTCTTGTTTTTTTCTGATGTGAATTTCGATTTGTGATTTATTTATTTAATTACACAAAATAATCACAAAAAAGGTAGCTACAAATTTCTTGTGGTTTTCACTTTTAGTTGAAACGAATCTTCGCTTTTTGTGACTAAAATATAAAAAAAATCATTAAAGAAACATTAATTTCTATTCCTCGAAATTGGAAAAAAAAGATCTTCTAATTATTGATTGATAAAATAGTGAAAAGGCAATCAAAATTTTCCAAGAGAATTACTGTTTTTTTTTCGTTGCTTTACAAAATACATCAGAATCTTATTGAATTACCCCCACAATAGATTTTTCATCAAGTTAAGACTTAAGAGTATGATGTGGTTCATGGTATTTAATAATTTATAATACACCTCTAACAAATACGCATTTCATTACACAAAATCATACGAATACAGAGGCAAAGGTGGGACATAATGCATGATTACAATAATAATAATAATAACTTATTATAGGGTCAAAATTGGAATACTTTTGTATATATTACGTTTAAGTAATGTGTTAGTGACATCGGAAAATTCTACAACAATAAACAAATGAATAAAATATGGTTGTGTGTTATACTAATTATTAAATATAAGCTACGAGTCTATGAATAAAATTTTAAATTGAAATGATTTAAATATTTATGTTAATTAAATTGGTAAGTAGAAATTTCAAATTCGGAGTGGGGAAACCTCTAATCACACCGACCATGGTTATGAGACATGCTGAACTACCAATGAACGAAGGACACGTGTCTTTCAAGAGCGTTCGTCAAAGTCAAGCCCACGACCGGACAACACTCTACAATACGGATGGACGGCAGTCGGCAGATGCTCGTACACAACACGAACACGATAGATTCATGCAGTTCACGAGGAGGCACGAAAATATATTTTAATTTTTAATTTTTTATCCGTAAAAAATAAACTCTTATATTAGATTTTATTAGAGATGTATATCAACATCCACACTAAATCTATATATCTATAAAAAATGGTTCGGATAATTATAATACATGATCGATGAAGTAATTAGTATAAGGCATGATACGAATCCAATATCTTAAGAAGAAAATTTATACGTACTGTTTGAAACTTTCATTAGTTAATTTACATAAAATGACGATAGAGATTATACGTAAATAATGAGAGTTGGAGTTCTAATTCTTGATATGTTATAAACGTTATCAAAGAAATACTGTATGAACTCACAATCGTCGAATATATTTCAATCTGAATTGCATTAATTTATGTTTTTTAAACTTGTTATTTTTTTTATCTTTTAAAAAAAATTATAACTTGTATTTATTTTTTTAACATGCAATTGTATCTCCTCCTTTTAGTTATTCCTTCAAGTATTTCCATCTTTTACGGATACTAAAGTCGAAATCGTAAAAAGACTGACATATTCTATTTAATCTATAAAACTATTATTTTCCTTTCATTTAAAAAAACTATTATTATCCCAAGAATTCGAAATGAGTTATTTGAAAATAAATTTTTTTTACAAGTTTCAGCTCTCATTTTTTGTTTATAATAATTCTGTGCTACGCGAAGAAGAAGAATCTTGAAACAAAATTTATTTTTTGGCAAGAAACAAAATGATGTAAAGGGGAATATAATTAGGTAAATGTCAATTTTATCTTCCTATTTTAGAAAAGGCCAAGGACATGGACTATACTAGTTGTATTGAAAATCTCAAAAAATAAATAAATTACGAAACGATTAAGAAACCCGACATCTAATCGATTTTTCAAATTCACGTGATTCGTGTCTCCTTCCGTGTATAGAGATTACCATATCGCCATAATAAATTCAAGTGATTACAAATGTAACATTCAATTCACTGTTGGGACAAATTCATTCAATACCATCTATTCTAACATGTAAATGTTAGGGTTTTACCCCCCATGAAAAATGCATATTTTATATTCACCAAAAAATAAAAAAATAGTAGCCGGGGTCATGTTTAGACCAACCCTTCCTTTTTTTTTTTAATTCATTGGCACGCATTTAGATTCGATCTTATCAATGTGCATTCGCATGAAAATGGGATTTCTTTCATGATTTGAGCCATAGGGGGCTAGATAGGGCCATATGCATAAAAGAAGACACGAGACGGATAGACGTTTTGAAGGTGATCTACAATGGTAGAATGCAAGTGAATCACAATGCAGAGAGAGAGAGAGAGAGAGAGAGAGAGAGAGAGAGAGAGAGAGAGAGAGAGAGAGAGAGAG